ATGATGATGATGATGAAGTCTCAGAGAATAGAAATTTGGATGATGTTTTGTAGGCAAGCTATTGATTTATATAATAGTGATAAAAGTAGAAGGGGTAAAAAGATTCCCCCTATTTGCATTCACCTTGTTACATAACTCACTAACCAGGCATGTTCCTTGTATTTATCAGGTGTAGCAGCACAAGTTCCAGCACAACCACAGTTCATGGTTCCTGCTCATTCTCCTCAGTTTACACAAGGAAGTGGTTCAGATCAAACAGCAGGTTGAGGGATAGATCAAGATGAATTACATCTTGAGGTATAAAGCTTTGTCCATCTATTTCTTCCAATATTCCAGCAGTATTATATTTTCATTGGAGCTCGTCATTGTTATTTACAGGTATCCTTAGATTGCAGCAGGACTAAGAGCACCAGTACTGCTACTTGAGTGGCAGGCTTTGAATCTAGCCTTGCAAATTATCATCTTTGCATTCTAGAGGTAAAATCTGATTCATTCATTAAGTACAGGATATATTATTGACTGGAACTTAATTGATCGAGTTCTGTATACTTGGGAAGTTACAAAAAGAAAGGAAATTGGATGGGGCATTAGATTGGTCTGCCAGTAGGATAGTAAGTTGTTTCATATTTGGACCCATCATTTACCAACATATGGATGTTGAATCTGTGTAGGAAAAATTGGTCAAGGATTAATTGCCTGATATTTTTAGCTTTGTTTAGGTGGAGACTGGAAACATGAAAAGGATGTTAGATGAACTGGTTAATTTGGATGATTGGATCATTCAATTGGGTCAATTTTTCACCTTTACTTATTTTTGTTTCGTTTGTGCTTTTAACTAGTCGGTAAGCCATGATTAAAATCTGATAGACCTGGGGTTTATGCCTCCCATGTGCATTTCTTGTAAGATGATAAATTCAGTCCAAACCATTAGCAAGTTTTACTTGTTTAAACCACATTGTTAGTGAACTAATATTACCTATTCCTATCGTGGTTTGATCCTTAATTCTCAAGTTTCATCAATGGAATTTCTGACTAAGTAGCTTTGTGTTGTGGCAGGTCATCCATAGTCATGGTCACTGGAGATACCAGAGTCAGATGTCAAGTCGCTCCAAGCACTGGAGCAATGAACAGGAGAGAGTTTGGATTGCTCTTCTGTCGCAGTAGTGTCTAAAATCCTCATGTCCTGCCGGAGCTTGAGGTCACTGGAAGAGTATGGATTGATGGATGCTGGAATCGGTTTCTGGCAACCATGTAGGGACAGACTGTAAATTCAGCATGTAGAATAATGAACATATGATTATTTTATCGTCTAGACCCAAGATTGGGTGTATAGCGAGTCCCTAGTGTTTGTGTAGGATGTTTGTGCATTGTATTTAACATCAGGAGTCTGTGGAAGTGTGCATATCAATAGCTGTTTATCTGAGGAACATTTTCAGTAATTGGTTATTTGTAAGACTCCAGAAAGGGCTTCAAAGACTGGCAGCAGGGAGTAATAATTTAACAAGGGGAACTTCTGTATATGTTCTCTTCCAACACTTAGAACTCTGATCTTAAGGCTACCTTAGTTCCGTTTGCTTACAAAACAACAACCGGAACAGGGCGAGGGATTATGTAGAAAAAATGAAATTTGCTTAAATGGTTGTAATGTTGGTACTTGATCGTATGTTCTTTAAAATGTAGGTCAGATGAGAACACGCATCTGAAGTGTGAACAGTGACGACACATGAGAATGAAAGGGCCCTTGTTATATCATCTTTCATCTATGGAAGTATGGATGATGATAGACCAAATGATAGTCGCTCAGTTGGTAACTTATCTCTCTGGTTATTGCGGAGAGTAGGGATCAAATCCCGGCGGGCATCACCAGGGTTGGGGACCCGCTACAACCTACAAATATTATAGAATCTGTTAGTGAACTACAAGAGTGCTTGGACTTGTTAGTGTAGGAGAGAAACTACGCTCCAGAAAAGATTGATGACTATTCTGTTGATGGATGTGAACTCTCTGGAAATGGCTGGATGTCTGATCCTTCAGTCCGGCCCTCATGACCTTGTACCTCACCTGTTTGGGTTTCATCAGCGGCTCAGCCATTCAATTCTTGGTTTCTATTTTCTGATACAAAACCGAAAAAGGGTTTCCAAAACGTCAGCCTTTTGGCCAAATTTGTTTCAAACATTCGTACTAATGCTCTGAAATTGTGGGGCCCATGAACCCGCTCTAGTTAATTCTGTTCAATTATTCTCAGTTTGGAAAAAGTACAAATACAAATATGTATAGTACAAATACATACAAAACTAGCGGAGCAGGCCCTATGTTGCAAGGGCTCGCTCATAAACTATTAGGCTCGAGCTTGATTCGATATAGAGACTTGAGCTCAAGCTCAAGAGCTCGTCTCGAGTCAAAAGGTTGGAAATTTGAGTTCGGTTACCTTTGATTGTAGGTCTCTCAAGCAGTCGAGATGTCGAGCCGAGGTCTCCTTCAATTGTTAATGTGCCAAACCGATGTCTCTCTCAGCTGTTGAAGTGTCGAGCTGAGGTTTTCCTACCAAGCAAGGTGTCGAGCTAAGGTCTTCCTTAGTTGACAAGGTGTCAAGCTGAGGTCTCCCTCAATTGTCAAAGTTTTGAGCCGAGATCTCCCTTAGTGACCGAGGTGCCGAGCCAAGGTCTCCCTCGGTGGTCGAGGTGTCGTCTAGCTCAAGCTCGATTCGAATTAGAGACTTGAACTTGAGCTCAGAAGTTCAAGCTCGGCTCAGCTCGAACTCAACTACCTAAGATTGTAGGTCCCGTAACAGTCGAGATGCTGAGTTGAGGTCTCCCTTAGTTGACAGAGTAGCATTCTTGTAATTTATAAAGGGAGAGAGAGAGAGAGAAAGAGAGAGTTGGTAGGTGAGTGGCATTCTTGTAATTTGAAAGAAAAAAAAAACGAGAGAGTTGGTAGGAGAGACTAGAGAGTGGCATTCTTGTAATTTGAAGGAAAAAAACAAAAGAGAGAATTGGTAGAGTGGTTTTCTTATAATTTCTATAAAAAGAAAGTAAAAAATACTGTTAGATTCCATTTCCCTCATCCTCAAGCCTTCTTATTTACACATTTCAGCTTAATATATTTATATAAATATAGATATAAGGTTTTGTATTCTACAAATTTGTATTTGTACTCCTTCCAAACTGAGCCTAAAATGCATTTTTTTTTAACACCAAGTCGAGTTTGCCAGCTGAAGGGTTTTGCTTCAGGGAAAATTTTGCCATCGCTGTTTTGCATCCAAAACCTGAAGGTAGAAGAAAGATGAACAGTGAAAAAAGAATTATTTTCATAATTTTACCCCTCACCATAACGTTTGTTTAACAGAATTGGACTATATATATATATAGGAACCCATCCCCGTCAAGAATCTGAGATGGGAACGGGGAATATGATTACCCCGAACCCACCCCATTGCCATTCCTAGGCCTATAGTGGTCAGACAATCCCCAAAATACAAAATACAGGGTACTTATATGCAATTTACCCTATTTTCAAATAGAAATATTTTTTTTCAACCCTAACACAACCTAGGGCCCAAGTCCAAACACATTGTATTTCCCTGGGAACAACTCGTACTTTCTCTTAACATGGAAGAATAATACCGAAAAAAACATGGAAGAATAACTCAAACGGAAGTAGACAGTAGAGCAAAATGCAAATCAAATATAGCAAAATGGAATGGGTAACGTACAAATTTAGTCTCTTGATTGGCACCCTTCATGTACCCAAACTAAAATATCATCATTTAATGAGACAATTCATTAAAAAAAACACAATGCTACCAAAATTATTAAAAAGAAAAAGAACGCTCAAAATTGTGAAACTTCATTGAGAAGCAAGAACAGTGGATAAATGACATTGATCCTTGTTAAATTTTTCCCAGTCAACTTCCTTTAGCATTTTGAACCTTTCATCTAATGTCAAAAAGCCAGCTTGAGAAGAAATCAAATTGCATTTCCCTGCTTTATGAAGCAAAAGCACACTAGCCCCGATGTCCGGGCCATGAAGCTTCCCTGTCAGCAACACTCGGAGAGGCATGAAGAGAAACTTTCCCTGTCAGTCATAGAATAGAAAGAGATTTTCAGCTTAATTCATAGAAAGAAGAGAGAAGCCCAAAGTAACTTTTGGTCAAGGACATTCTTGTTATTCATCCAGCTAGAACCAACCTTGCGTTTCAATGATTTACCAAAGCTTTTAACCCACTTCTGCCAACCGGCATGGCCTTCTTCAATTGCACAAAGGAATTCTCCATTATCATAGGCAGCTAACAAGCTGGCTGCAACTTCAGAAAGCTTGTCTTCCAAGACAGATTTACCTTCCTCACTGGCCAAAAGAAAGAAAGTATTCCTGTTATATGACTTCTTAAAGCAAAATGGGTAGCTTCAAGTGGTCAGTTTTTTCCTTTGCATCATTAAAACAAATTAGAATGAACCATTAACGGTTGGTCATTTATGTCTATTCCGGGCAGAAATGTTATTATTGAGCTTATATGTGAAGATAATAAGTTGTAACAGGTTCTGTTTTGGGGCTGATGAGGGAGTAATAGTTGGCTGTTAGATTCCATGGAGATAATGAGAAGATATTGGTTTGGCTGTAAGTTTTCATGGTGATGCTGTTTGTGTTGGATTCATAGAGGGTTTTAATGAACAGGAGAGGATGTACTGGTTTTCTTTTTTTCTTTTTGGTGATACTCAATCACCGGCTCTTGTAACTCATCATTTTCCCTTGACAAAATTTTTTATTTACTATATCAAAAAAAGAAAAGAAAAGGAAGGTCCTTGGTCTTTCAGGATTCTTATTAGAGAAATAAGAGCATTATCTTCCAATCTGAACAGCTTGTTCAGGTAGATCCCCCAGATCAGCTAATGCCTTAGATGACTCAATTACTCTCTGCTAATAGAATAATCTGAATATTAGGGGCCCTCTTGCATTATACCATCACTATCAAGGTCCTCTTTCGATCATCATCATTTATAGGAAAAGGCAAGCAATAAAGAAATAAAGATAGGAGTGTACCTAGTACGTCCCTTATTTATACAGATTAGAGAGATGAAATGATGTCGAAGAATCAAAGGAGAATCACGTGACATCATCCTTATCTATGGCCCTTGTTAGAAGGGTGCATGATTGCCATCAGGTTCAGCTCAGACTCGAAGCCTTGTGTAGCTGGTTTTTCTTGACAAAAGCCTTGAATAACGTAGGCATTCCAACAGGTTTGCTATGCACAGAAGAGGTGGGGAGATTTATCAACATGTCATCTTTTTTATGTGGATTGGTTCACCCAGCTTCAATTCTTCCATTTTCCTTCCTTGGTCCTATTGCTCATTTGGTAGTAGAGGGCTCTCTAATGAAATATGGCCTCACAATCTTCTGGGGTGCGGGGATGGAGAGGAATTAGAGGATTTGGGGAGGAAAAAGAATTGACCTTATATTCATATTGGCATAACCTTATAGATGTTTCTGGCTTTTTTCATTGATTGGGCTTTGGTTTGAAATAGTTCAACACTCTAAAAGCATGAAACTTTATGTTCAAACAAATTACTGCTTTGGGTGCAAGGGGTTTGTACATTGTAAAGTTCTTTTTTGAGGTTTTCTTGCACTTGTGTACATCTCTATACATGTGCCACTAATAGAAGTTATCTTTCACATGGTTTGCAATATTGATGATATTTGGCAAAATATCCCCAATATATCCCCATTTGCTAGGCGGCAATATGAAAACTTCCTGGAATCTTTTTTTTTTCAAATATCCCCGATATATTGCCAATATGTCGGTGATATTTGAGATTTCATTGATATACTCTATATTTTTAAAGTTTAAAATTCTAGTATATTATTAAAAACTTTTAAATATTTCATTTAAATCATCATAATTTTTTTTAAATATTTTCCTATAAGAACCAGCAGGGTATTAGGGTATTAGTGATTGGATACTTCTTGGCTTACTACTTTGATGTGATTCACTTACCAAGTTACTATAATTCAAAAGAAAAAGAAATGCATAGAACTACAAAAGAGTATTCTAGATCTAACCAAAATATATGGCAACACTAAAGATAAAAGTTAAATGGCAAGCAAATGACATGTATAAAAAACAAAAGATGACTAAAGACCAAAAGGGAGACAAAGAGAAACATACCTATTACAATTTGCTTAATATTTCCCCATTTGATTTATACAATTCTTTGTTATGATGTTTTGAGCCTTAAATGTGCAATTATATTTCTTCTAATGATCACTTGAAGGCTTATTAACTAATTTAATATTTCTAGAAAACTTTTTTGATTTTTAAAATTTTCCAAATATCTTAGTGAAATATCTCCAAAATTTCTCCAACCCTAACATGGAGAAATGTTCATCGATATCAATATTGCGAACCATGATCTTTCATTAATTCTGAAAAGGGGGTGTAAAATATTATAGATCATTACAAGATTTGGAAGTTAAATGTCCAGATTCTAAATCAGGTTTGGAAGCATCCAAGAAAACCTGTTCCAAAGAATGAGTGATGGCAACAGCCTGATCATATTCAAAATCCCTCAGCCCCCATCAACCAATATCCCAAGACAAACCAGAATCAAAGAAAGAAACCAAACTAGATGTGGGCTTGAGTTTGTGTTTAGATAAGGAATAGACAAGAGGGACTGGTCTTTTAATGGTCTATCACCCCACCAAACATACTTCCAATATTTTATTTTATTGCCCGTTAAAACATAGTGACAAATATGCTGAAAATAAGGGCAATAAATAACAAATGGCTTCCCAAAGAGAGGCAAGAGTCGCTCTATTAGAAAACCCACATCATATCCATTAACAGTTCGACAATAAATGCTACCAACGACCTTATGCCAGAGATTGTCCATTTCCAAAGGGAATCTCCACAACCATTTGCCTAAAAGAGATTAATTTTCATGTACCAATTTCCCCACCCCAAGGATTATTTCAGGATTAATCACCCCCCATATAATAAGGCTTTAGTTGAGTTTACAAGATTACTCAATGCTTGTCTCCTGTAATTAAAATGGGCTTTCTTAATTTCTAGAAGCTCTTAAATAACCTGATGTAGCTTCAAATAGAAACTAAATGAACAAGTCAAACAAATCTCCCAATGTTTCTAACAGACCCAACTACAGTATGATAAACTTAGCTTAGCAGTTGCTTAAAATCACAGCTTCTGCACTTGGGCTAATTGGGCTGTACACATGCTAAGTTAGGCCTGCAGCATACAGTCAACCACTCGTATGCATCACCAATGAGATCAAAATCCTTCAAAATCTACAATAAAGGGAAGGTAAGAGGAAAAACCAGGCTTTTTCAAATTTCAATTTTAATTGTAGAAGGGATCCTAACAAATAGGTTGAGATTGGTAAAGATCCATATCCATTTTAAACAAGATTTGCACTAGTGCAATTCCTTTGACATTAAATTCAAGACTCCTCTTTTGGTAAATAGATATTAAATACCAGTAACTCGGATGCAAGGTCAATTGCGCTGGTACTAAATTGATGCAGGAATAACTGCTGTAATACCAAACTTATGCAAGATAGGTCAGAAAAATAAGAATAAGAAAAAAAAATATCAGCAACTAGGCTTCTCTAAGAATCAACACTAAATAGCTTAATTAGGGAATTAAAACCATCAAAAGATCAGCTAACAGTATGGCAGAGGATTTGACCAAACAAGGGGCAAACAAGGATCAATTATACTGGGAGGTTATTCCTAGAAAATCTGAAGCCCAAATGTAAACAAAAGGACGAGGAACCAGTTGGCAAGGTAGCAAGGGCTAGTCTCTTTTTTAAAGGGTGCTTGGCACATTCAAAGTTGAAATTTCAAAATATTGCAATGTATCGAGGTGTCTCAGGCTCAGGCATATCATATCGTTTAGGCTAACCCCAATACACTAACTACCAATGTTTTCTTTTATGAATAGTAATAAATTTATTAATTCAGAAGCTGATTTAGAGTTGTGAATTCATACAACACCCCAGGGAGAGGCGCAAGCTGCAGCCCCTCCTTGAATCTCACAAGCAAACTAGGAAAGAAATACAGGAATCACAGCTGAGCCCAAAACAATTCTTCCCTATTTACCCCTTGCTTGGCTAACACATCTGACAAAGTATTTGCTGATCCCCCCACCCACTGTACCGTGACCAACATATTCCTTGTCAACCAACTGAATTTCTTCATTTCATTCTTGTAGCGCCATATAGCATCTTCAGGATTTTTCAACCAACCCACCACCACTTTGAAATCCCCATCAATTATCAGGTGTTGTACCCCCAGCTGGTTTGCAAATTGCACCCCTTGTATAGCAGCTAATAGCTCTGCCCTGATAGAGTCCCCAACTCCTAAGGGACCTGAGTAGAGCAACAGAATCTCTCCCTTCTCATTTCTCAAAACACCCCCCATTCCAGATAATACTGGATTACCCATGCTACTTCCATCAAAGTTCAACTTCAGTGAGCCTTCAGATAGAGGAGACCAGCTTGTAATTGATTTGTCCTTTAGAGGTGAACACCTCGCTACTGCTGACCAATTTCTCCAAAGGTCGTTAAAACAGAATTGATGAAAGATTTTCAAAGTCTTCAATCAAGGTATTGCCCTATTCAGCACACGGTCTTTCAATTCCTGACTGCTCCTTTCCTTTTCTTGAAAAATTCTAGCATTCCTTTCTTCCCAAAGAGTCCAAATCAGGGCAGCGCAAGCACATCTCCACATAAGTCTCCCTCTTTTTGTAGGCCAAAAGAAAGTAGAATGGTTGAAAAGCATGTGAACTTCTGTTGGTAGACTCCAACTACTCCCAAACAACGAAAGTAGCCAAGCCCAAAGATCTGCAAAAAAGGGACAAAATATTAGTAGGTGGTAACCGTCCTCACCATGAGCTCTACAGAGGATACACCAATTGGGAGAAATACAGAGGAAAGGTCTTCTCTTTTGTAGGTTATCTAGAGTGTTTACTTTCCCATGGAATACTTCCCAACAAAACGCCATAATCTTTGGGGGGACTGGCCTACACCAAATTTCCTTTGACGGAAAGGGCTGTTGAGTAGAATGTTGAGAGATGGACTTGAAGAAAGAAGAACAAGTAAAGGTTCCATTGGGTCTAGGAGTCCACACCCATTTATCTGGTTTGGAGGGATCCAAGCAAACTTGATTAAGACAACATAGCAAGACAAAGAGAGATTCAATTTCATCATCCCTTAGTCCTCTACGAAACCCAAAATCCCAATTAGGAGCTAAGGGTGTTCCCAATGGTGAGACAAATTTTGAAACCACCTCTTTTTTATACAAAGAAACAGAAAATAGCAAAGGGAAAGGTCCTTTAAGGGGGTGTCTCCTACCCAAATATCCTCCCAAAAACAAACAGCGTTGCTAGAACAAACTTCATACCTGATAAAATTGAGGAATTGAGGAAGGGTGTTGTGAATGGCCTTCCAAGGTGCTGAGGTTACACTAAATACCAGTGTTTAGAAAACCAAAACAGACCGGCTCGGGACCTTGGTCGGTTTGGTTCGTACCCTAATAACCATTTTTGCTAAAAAAATAGTGAAAACTGGCTGACCGGCTGGTTTAACTGGAAAACCAGTGAACCGGTCCCAGTTTCATAAAACCACTCGGGTCCTTAAACAATTGAAATTTTAAAATGCGATTAACAAGACATGAACCCATGACCTCTTGTTTTTTATATTGCTTAATTACCACTAATCCACCACTTATGTTAATTAATGACTTTTTATTGTACATATTACTTTATTACGCACATATTTTAAAGAAAATGTAAATTACGAGACTTGAACCCAAGTCATTTGCATTAAAAATTAAACTTGTCATCCATCCACCATATTTAAATATATTAAAACTTGTAAAATATATTATATATAGTATTTATATGACCCATAGTATACATGTATATATCTATGCCACATCATCACGATTCAGCCCCGGTCCGGTTTTCTGAACATTGCTAAATACCTAGTGTTTCGAGTAAGACTGACCCAAGGTTTAAAATTTCGATACGATACGCCCGATACGAGGCGTAACGTATCGTATCTTTGAAAAATAGATACATGATACGCATGGAAATCGGACGTCTCGTCTTTTTTTCATGCGTATTGGACCATATCAGGGCGTATCTGAGGCATATCGGGGCGTATCTGAGGCATATCGGGGCGTATCAGTTGCGTATCAACAAAAAAGATACGGCTAAAAACTGGAAAAAAAAAATAAAGGGGAAAAGCAAGCTTCTTTTCCTTGAAACAATCCTTCTTTCACCCCCAAATGACTCTAAAACTCCAAACCTCATTCCTAGAGTACTAGATTTGCAAAAAAAATGCAAGAAACAAATGTGAATTATTTTTTTTTTTTGAAAATTTTTCAAATTTTGAAAAATTATGGCAAAAGAGGTAAATTTTTTCCATTTTTTATAATATCTTGTGATTTCTTTTTTTCTTGAATATTTAAATTTACGTTGATATACAATTCTTACATTCAAAATCATAATTTTTTTTTGTGTTATTAATAAATTTATGGAAATTTCATGAAGATTGGGGAAAATATAAATTAAAAAAAAATTGAAATTGTAATTTTCCCTGCCTATAAAGACTAAATATGTTTTAGATCTATGGATTTATCTATCATATCTATAGATCAATTGAAATTTCTTCTTTAGTATTGTTTTTATTTTTTATATTTTTAGAATTAAAAAAATAATAATTAATTATATTTTATCATTTGATCACAACAATTGAATATATTATAATTCTATGGGTGATCTTTCATATCTACAGACCAATTGAAATATTTTATTTAATAATTATTTTTTTATTTTTTTATTTTTAGAATTAAAAATTAATTAATTAATTAATTATATTTTATCATTTTATCACAATGATTGAATATATTATAATTCTATGGATGATCTATCATATCCAAAAAGCAATTGAAGTTTCTTCTTTAATAACTATTTTTTGAATATATTATATAATGTTTATTTATTTATTATAATTTTTGAAAATAAATAATTATTGATTATATTTTCACTTAGAAGTTGTGTCAATGCATGCTTTATGGTTGGATAGGAGAATTAAGTTTTTCCCATCCCATAAAACATTAAAACTTAAGAATTATAATTTATAAATTATAGTTAAACATAGGATTTTTAATGAAATTATAATTACCTACAGTATATTTCTTCATAAAACCATTAAAATATATTAACTTAATGTATATACACCTCATCGAGGTCTTATATTTAGTGTTATTGATGCATTTTTATGATTTATTAAAGTATTTATAGTGTTTCCAAGCGTATCTATGTGTATCTTAGTTTTTCTCCGATACGCATGTGTATCCAAAGCGTATCCCGACACGTCTCTTAAAATTGCCTTTCCGATACACATTAAAATGTAAATTATTCTCAATCTTCTATTACAGATTAATAAAAATGGAAATTAAGAATAAAAAATAGCACCACCAAGAAAATTAGAATTACTTCAACATTAGAAGTAGAGAACTAACATTCTATTATTTGATGTCAAAAAGAGAAGGCCTTAAATATATCTAAGCAAAGAGGAAGAGATTGTCCAGCTCTTTTTCCTTGTTTTCCAAATCTGAAACCAACTAAGAAACATCACTAAAAAACTAGGGACAAGACAAATTCTAGTTGACTAAAGACTAGGACTTTGAAACAAGATAAATCCTACTTTATAAAAACTCTCACCTATAACATCATTTTAACTTGTTAACATAACTCCTAATCCAATTAGGAAAACCAACTCCTACACACCCAATGTAATTAAAACCAATTTCTAGTCTAATTAGGAAAAAAAAAACTAATGACTCATATTTAGGCTACTACTCACTAAAAACTTAATAGACATCCATAAATGCACAAAATTTCAGAAGATCTCATATTAGGCTCCTGAACTAAATTCCTTTCCACTACAAAAGATTCAAAACTATGCAATTTTGAAGATACTAAGTTCATCATCCTCAGAGAATCAGAGGGAAGCAAATCATTCAACCGATCATTTAGGACAAGAAGGCACATAGATGTTGCATGTATTTTGGAGACTTCATATTCTCCACCAGTAATGTGCTGATACTATTTTGTGCATTCACAGTTGAATAATTTAGTAACAGGAATCCATAGCAAAAAGTGTGGAAGTGTCAATTCACTCATGCACCTGATCATGAAAAAACTTCCAAATCTGCAAAAGATATTGATGAAAATAATAAAACTAAATGTTAAACATGAAGGTCAAATATCATACCTTGCCAAGGTAGCATGCAGTGGATAAGAAAGCAAGTTTGAGAGAGCTTTATCTGAATCAGTTATTAAGTCAATCCCATCCTTGAGCAGTTCAACAGCGTCCTATTTTTTTATGGATTCAATATGCAAAGATTAGAAAATAATTGAATGAAAAAAAAAAATAGAAAAAGAAAACATTACCAATAATGAAATGCCCCTAGATGACCAGAAGCTAAACCTATAGTGTTCTAAATTACTAGTGAAGTAGTAATCAAGTAACATCTTACAATCACTACATTCATATACCATAGAATAAGTACCAGTTTGGGAGGGCTTTCCAGCAGTTGCTTTTCATCTTTCATGAATTTCAAAGCATAGAAAGCTGAACAAAAACATTTGATGAAAACTTGGAAAGTTGAACCAGCTTCCTAAACACTGATTTTTCAGCATTAACAAAAAGCATCTATATGATGCTTGTCCAGAATGCTGAGAAGACAGTAAGTGCCCATTTGTGAAGGCTTTCATGCAGCCGCTTCTGGTTTTGCAAAGTGGGCCACACCTGGATTGCATATAAGTGATTTTTGATAAAAACACCTGGTAAGCCGTAAGCCCAAAATAGCTACCTTACAGCAAAAAAAAGGGCTTTCCACTGAAGCTTCTTTTAGTGGCTTCTCCAAGGCAGCTCAACTAAAGCTTCAGTCCTCCCAAACGGACCTTACATCATTCCTGCTCAGCTGCTCAAGTTGAGCCCTTCCAAATAGGCCCTAAGCAGAAATATACCAAGTTTAAAGACTCAGTAAGCCATTATCTAAGTCAGGGTCAAAAATGAAAATGGATTTCCAAATTCCACACAATAAGTGATAGGTTTCAAATAACTACCTCCAGAGGTTTGAAATTATTCAGAACTAGTGGGTTTTGTTCTCTTAAAATCCCTTAAGCTTTGTTGGAATTAGGGTGTATTGACGAGGAAACAGAAAAACAGGATAAAAAGGATTACGAAACCAACCACTTTCCATGTTCCACTGTTCAGCTCCAAAACTTGAGCAATGTGGAATATCTACCATATCTTGGTTTCCATCCCACATTTGCACTTCTATCCCCTCAATCCAAACAGCCTTAATGTTGATGGGGAAAAGAAAATAAATGAAATTCTACCCTCCAAAATCCTTCCAATCGCATAGATCCACTATTAAAGCTTGGTTCTCCTTAATTTCCAACCCTTGTGGTGGAAAAAAAAAAATTGTGAGAAGGCAAATATTATCTCTGTGATAATGAAAATAGGGATCATTTTATGAGGGACAGAAGGTATTTTAAAGCAATAACCTATGTCATTTCAGTATTTGTAGTCTTGTCACTAGCCTCCCTTCCTGCACCTTCCATTTATCAAAATTAGGGGCAGGACAAATCACTCGCTAATTGACTTGTCATGTAAAAATCATATGAATTTGTTTGGAATTCTAGATTTTAAAGTACAACTCAACAAAAAGCTGCAATTTCATTCTTACATTTATGAATAGCCCTTCTGACTCTGTGAGGATGCCAGCACTCTTCCAGCGTTCACCTAAAAGCTTTGTCAAGTCCTCTGATGGAAGAGACCTTAAATGCTGACCATTCATCCACCTTTAAATTGTAGGAAGACATTAGTGGAAAATAGATGTCCTATAAAACAACTAAATGCAACAGTTTCTTTTTTGCCAATGGTAAAGCAAGGATACAATATCTATACACTGTATGGGAGTAATCTCATTCACACAATTAACAAGCCAAACACCAAAAGGTTACAAAAAAAGGGTAACACTTGGAGCCTATTTCCCGTCAGACTGGCACATCCAACATGCAATTAATATTTTCAGATATGTAAGCCTCAAGGAAAGGCGTATCTTAAGCACAAGCTAACTAACCAAATCATGGAATGGGTGTAAAAGCCCAACAGCACCAACTGAAAACACTTGGAATTTGAGAGTGGTTCAAAAGCTCATACATATGCACATAAAATTGTAAACACACATATATATACATATATACATGGTTACATTGCATGTATACATACATGTATTACTTGTCAACTATACTGACTTTATCAATGAAGTTATTTTAACATTTATTTATAATCTATAATTCTATATATATTTAGCCACATGGGGGCTCAGGCAAGGGGCTCGACGTGGATGGTCTCCTGATTCGGAAAATGGAATCCTACGGTAACTTTGGGAGTTATTGACGACTTTGCTTGTGGCTTTTCAAGTTTTTTACAATTGTGCCACTGTTCTATCCAATCCAATCTTTCTCCCATCTAATAGGAGTGGGCCCATCACTCTATTCCCGAAGGGGAGCTTTGACTCTCATTCTCTCTTGATTTTATATTTTTTAGATTTTGTTATTATCCCCTTTGACATTCAAATGACCGCTCTCAACTGCACCATAAGTTTTTGTATATTTTTTTACAATTTTCTTGCAAGTTGTGTTTATGTTTTTGCAGAGGTTTCTCCTTTACTGGTGCCCCAGCCAATACCTACTGTTTTTGCAAAGGTTTTTCCCTGTCTCTATTTCTCTTTCCCATTTATTCGTGCTTTGAGTTGTTTTCTGTTTGCCGATGTTTGCTCAGGAACTAACAATAAGGTGTATTTATTTTCTTGCAGGTTGTGCTTAGGGTTATCGGTGGCACATTAGCCTCTGCTTTAAAGTAATGTGCTCAATAAGGCAATAACTTTCTCTTTTGATTTTCTTATGAATATTGGAATTCCCATTTAGGGGGAAATTATGCTTAATATGAAAATATGATACATTGGTTTGAGTTTGATTTGCTTAGTATTCAAATTCAAAACATATTTAAACATTCTTTACATATTTGGCAAGTAAAAATATTAAACTTCAGTGATATTAAAATCAAATTCCCTTTTTTTTTTGCTTTCTCATTCAAAGACCTAATCCTGATTTTGTTTTCAAAACATACTTAAACATTCTTTACATTTTTGGAAAATAAAATATTAAATTTCATTAATATTAAAGTCAAATTCTTTTTTTTCCTTTCTTATTCAAAGATCTAATCCTGATTTTGTTTTGAATGGAAATGTCCAGGTCATTATAGTAATTTTGACATAGCTCAAAAGCCTTATCAAATTTCAGGTCCCACTTGGTCAGCCAGGGGAGGAAAGGGTAGGAGTGATCTTGAAACAGGTGTACAACAAAAAATAGAGTTGGGAGAGAGTAGCTCTTCAGAGAAACAAGCAACAGAAGATGAATAGCAAGATCTCTTCTATCATTTTTTTTAGTACATATAAACAATTACAATCTTGAACTTCTCCTCAACTATAGCCCCATCTCTAATCTCCATACTTCATCAAACTTATCTTTGTACTGTGGATTCAACAGGATTAGGGGTGCAAATGGATCGGATCATGATCCACTATCCGATCCTATTTGGTCAAATTCGGATCACCCCTGGGAGGATCTTCGGATCGGATTTGGATCCCCCCATCCAATCCTATATTTTGTTTTTTTTTTTTTTGGTCTAAACTATAAGACAAACCAAGGGATGAATTCCTTTAAGCATACTGCCCCTGCATTGCAAGGGCACCTCTTTTTTTTATCAGCAAAATGAGTTATTTATTAATGCTTGAAAAAAGTTTACAGATCTTTGCTACATAGTAGCCCAAATACAGCAGAAACCAGATTGGCCACCCTGATTACCATGCCCCCTTTTTACTATTACAGATTACAACATTGCCCAAAATAGAGTGGATCTGTCCACTCCCTGTTTTGCAAGAACATCTGCCAGGCCATTTGCTGTTCTTTTTACTCCAAAGCATTACAACTTTTTGCAAGGTAGTCAATTTCCCTGAAGGCAAATTTACATTTCCAAGGAGCTGAAATAATTTGTTTTCCCCAAGAAATAACCAATAAGGAATCTCCTTCCACTTCAAGCTCTCTAAGACCCATCTGTATTGCCAGTTTAGTCCTTGTAAGAGAGACATTGTCTCAGCGAGTTGCTAAATCCAATTGGCCCAGAGAAAAAGGCCACAACTGCACCTTGATGGTTTCTGAAAACTCCCCCTATACCCACCCTCACCGGATTACCAAAGGTGCTCCCATCAAAATCTAATTTCAGTTTGTTTGGCCTTGGAGGTTTCCATTCCGTTATCACTAATTGCAAGGGTACCTCTTTGCTAGTTATATATAATATAGTAGAAAGCTTGCTGAATTAAAAAATATGAAATAAAAGGAGTTTCTTGAAGAAAGAAGGAAGAGAGAAGGAGAAGAGAAGAAGAGAAGTTGAAAAGAAAGGAGAGCCAATGATGTGGCCGCCCCCTTCACTTATTATTTATATTAAAAATAATATAGCAGTACAAAGACAACTATGCCCTTATAGGGCAGCAAGACATAAAACAGCATATATAAGACACGAAAACATAATAAAATTTGGACTCACATAACTACTGTGGTCCCCACCTCCTATCTAACAACTAACATAAAACATCTACTCATAAAAAACATCATAAAACTGATTAATCTTCAACAAACATAATGTAAGGCATAATCATAGGCAAAGATTTATAAAACAGTTTTATTTGTTAAAGGGTAAAAACAGCCATGCCAGTCCCAGCTATTTGACATCTTGGGGGGTAGGCTTGATACAGACCTAACCTTCGGCTTTTTTTAATAGGTAAAAAGCTCATTAAAATTTCATTAGAAGCAATAGGATAAATGACTGTTACAAGCATCCCAAAGGGAGGCACGAGGTGTGGCCTCATTCTTTATAGAGAAAACAGCACAAAAATTACAAATGGGCCCAATACAACTGATCCTTAGTTATCCCTTGCTTAGCTAAAGAGTCAATGAATACATTAGCCTCCCTTCCCACCTATTGTATAATCAAATTCATGTGTTGTGTTACCCATTTGAATTTCTTCATTGCATTTCTATAACACCATATCACTGAGGCTGGATCTCTAAGCCAGCCCACCACCACCTTGGAGTCCCCTTCTATCACCAAATTCTCCAAACATATCTTCCTTACAATCTGGGCACCTTGTAGGACTGCATACAGTTCAGCCTTTAAGGAGTCTGCATTCCCCATCAGTCCTGACTGAGTACTCTTAAATTTCCATCCTTGTCCCTTATGACCCCTCCAATTCCAGGAGGGCCTGGGTTGCCTTGACTGCTCCCATCAAAGTTTAGTGGCAGCACTTAGACTCAAACCTGCATTCTCACATTTTTTTTCCTGCATTCTCACATTTTTTTCCTGCATTCTCAGACTTGTAAGCTTAGGATTTTACCATTACACAAAGCAATGGCCCCTTTAAACCAACCAATTTGTTAAAGTGTAGGTAGTGCATATAAAAACAAGGATGAGAGAGATAGAGAGACATATAAAGCATAGGGACCCATTGAAATGACTTGAACTCAAGAAGGCATAGTAGCCGTGCCCAGTTTTACAACCCTGGATGGGAGAATGAGTGACGGAAAGAGTTACAGTGTGGGCCCACATGCATGTTATCTTTGAGGCAGTGAACGAAAAACATGTCAATAACATATTTTCTCATTTATTCAGAGCATGTTTTAACATAGATTCTGTTGAATATGTTAGTTTTTCTTTATTTTAGTGTCATAGGGGCACATATGTAATTTTCTCCTCTTTTATTATTAGAGTGGGTCGCCCTAATATAAATACCAAAAGGCTGGTGCCGCCAGCTTCAGTTTTTGACTCCAAAAGGCTGGTGCCACCAGCGACAGATCTGTGATTAGGAGCAGTGTGACCAGTCCTTTTTCCTTCTCCAGAATTTTTTTTTTTTTGTCTACTGTGGATCAAATCCAAAGAAAAGGTGCATCTGGTTGACGTGAGGAGACTTTCTGTGTAATTCTTCCCTTTCCCTCTTGATCACGTGCCAAGAAAACACCAAGGGAAGGGAAGCCAAATGCTGTGAAGGGTGTTCCCGATTCTTTCCTCTCAACTTCGTGGATCAATTGTTCCTTCTGTACCCAGTAGTGTGGTAATCTGAGAACAAGTGTTGTTGTGTGATCAGATATAACTCTGCTGTGTGAGAACAAGAACTAAATTGTGCCTAAAACTGACTGGACTAAGAATAAATATCTGGACTGAACTGTTAGTCTGTGACTGAACTGAGAACAAGTACCTTGACTGAATTGTGATTGAACTGAGAGCAAGTACCATGTCTTCTGAGGATTCTAGTATGTCTGGTGTGACCTCTAGTCAGAGTGTGTTAGAGTCGGCTGTACAAGGGTAGTACAGTCCTTTTATGTTTAGTTATATATGTACTGCTCAGCTGATGTGGCTCTCACTTAAGTGAGGGCACAATGGTAATCCTTGTATATCTTAGAAGAGTATAAATAAAAGAAGGGCCGACTAGAGGGATTTAATTTTTTTCTCTCTAGTTCGGCTGTGACCTTTTTTCCTTCTTTTCCTTCTCTTTCTTCTTCTCCTTCTCTCTCTCTTTTCCTTATCTTTCTTCTGATCTGAACATATACGAACATCTAATCTGAGTTTTATCATGGTATCAGAGCCACGATAATCAGTTCAGATCAGTTGTCTCATTTCCTCTCTGTTCTGTGCATTCCTCTCTAGGGTTTTGCAGAATTCTCATTGATATTTAGAGAGTTTT